GAATTGAGGTGGGCGTAGCACATCCGGGTTAAATTACTCATTATTGACAATTTTGACAAGGGACTTAACTCGCAACGTATACATTTGTTCAAAATGGAACTTTGCATACAATTACTTCATCCGTTGAGCCACGTTGTCTTAGAAGTTCGATTGTTTCAGCTTTATAGTTCAAAAAAAGGAACAGGTTTTGAAAATTCAAAATTTTCAATTTTTGACCTTGACCTTTTTTGACCCTGATTTTTGTAGGATCAAAGGTCATTCAAATTGGTTATCTATTTATACTTTTATATTTGCTGTCCTATCTCAACTTCCGGTTTTATAGCCGTATATATTTAAAAATTTTGATGACTTGTATCTCGTAACCTTGACCTTTGTTGACCCTCTCCCTTTCAATGTTAAATGTCATTGACCTTGGCCATCTTCTGATACTTTCATTTGTGAGGTCTGTCTACTTCCGTTATAACAATCTTCCAAAGAATTCTTCTCAACTTTAGACTGCTCTTGCGCGTGATGTAATTATCGTAGAAGGTTGATTTTTTCAGAGTCTTTTGCAATTTGCTACATTTGCAAAGTCCCACTCTGTGCCACGTGTGGCTCTAGTTATATTGTTGATATCATTTTTTGTGAATTTCTAGGTTAATATTTGACTATTATTACGAATTTGATCTTCCGTATAAAGATATAAAGTAAAGGTAGGTTGATTTTAAAAATAGATAAAGCAAGAGAAATGTACTTACACGTCGTAAGAGGAAATAAAAAGACAGTTTTAACTGTATGGTGTCCTGGTAGATCAGCTATACATCTATATGGTATATCAGATTGCTCATCTTTAATTAATACAGATAGTATACCTTCTGAATTCCCAAAACCTTCAATAACAAATGAAATCTGTATCTTAAATCGTAAAATACTGTACGCTATTAGTCGTATCATTTGAATAATCTGTTCATACAATAGTATTTTATGTTGTCAAATAGACGAGACACTGTGTCCGGTGCGTTCTAAGATTATTGATACAGTAGAAATACAGGGAATGAATCCGGATGCGGATATCATTGGTTACTTCTAATTTCTAAGGTATTGTCATCACCACACCTCATAACGCACCAGACATCATACCTCTATTCGAACCTTTCCAAGTTACTGTGGTGATGGATCAAACATATGAAGCCTACCGTTTTCATCGGTTAATTTTTTTAAAGTTTTTGAAGCCTTTATTGTCACATCTGCTATACCGTGAAACCATCTCAAGTCTGCTGGTGGTCTGCTGTGGGTTGATCTACATATTAAGGCCACTGCTGTACCAGCTGTAAACGGCAAACTTCCGTCATATGTTAATTCCAACAATGTCATTGAGACTACAAGAAATTACAGGATGAATTTAAGTATAGTAAGTAAGAGTTATGGTAGTTCATGTTTAGTTATGTCAGTAGAAAGTCATTGAGTAGTTTTTGTGTCGGTCTGTCAGTAGTAAGTCATAGAGCAGATAGAGTTATTCTGACAGTGTAAGTCATAGAATGGATAGAGGTGTTCTGTTAATAGTACGGTAAGTCATATAGTAGATAGTGTTGTTTTGTCAGTAGTAAGTCATATAGTAGATAGTGTTGTTCTGTCAGTAAGTTAGTCATGTATAGATCTAGTGCAGCTTTGACTGTAGGGGGGTCATAGAGTAAATAGTATTGTTTTGTCAATATTAAGTCGAGTACTTTTAGTGAAGTTCTATCAATCTAGTAAATCATAGAGCAGATAGTATTGTTCTGTCCGCAATAAGCCATAAGAGTAGTTCTAGTGAAGTTCTGTCAATAGTAAGTCATTGAGTAGTTCCAGCTCCAGTTCCAGTTAATTATGTCACACGCAAATGGTTTTGTGTCATGTGATTGCAAACAATATACTAACAGTACCTACCTGAGACGTTTAGGGAGACTTTATATTTCACATCCCCAATTTCACACTGATAAACCCCTTCATCTTTCAATGTAACTCGTCTTATAATTAAACTATTATTTCTGATAGTTACATATTTACTATTATTAGTTGTTCTGTCATTATAGGTTAATAGTTGAAACTCTGGTAATGGCCAAATCTGAAATTAAAAGTATGAGTAGAAGAAACAGTGCTCTGGAAATCTAGAGATCTAGAGAAATATAAAACTTACGGTACTGAGACGGGGAAATGCATTTTAAAACCCAGATGATTTAAAGGAGCAGACATTTATTAATGCTATGGCGGTTTTCAAAATTTGTAAATTCATCACGGTGAAACAATTTCCAAGTGAGTAAAATTAAGATGAATGGGGTTCTTCCGCTCGTGATTTAATTCATAATCATAGTATTTAATATGGCTAAGGCATTGTCACTTCTACTGTCAAGCCAGCAAAAGAATAAAAAGTACTACGCTTACTTTAGAAATTTGCATGGATTTATTCCTCTCGGTATAGCCTTTTTTATATATAAAATCAGGATAGTTCTTTTAAAGACAGTATAAAAATATATTTTGTGTACCTTTTCCCACAAGACAAGAGGGGATTCTTCAACGGGTAAAATTTGACAAGGAATAGTAATATCATTTCCTAATAATACTGATATAGACTTAGATACATCTTTACCAGAACATCGAACTGGAATGAATAGTAGGGATAATAATAATAAAAAATTAAATAAAGAAAAAACTTCTTGATATCGCCATAAGTACGATATAGTTAACAACATAATATGTATCACGGTTCAACAAAATGACTTAATTATTAATATCGTTATTTAAAAAAATATAATAATATCGACACAATATAAGAATCGTTTCATTTATCATTGTACAGAAAATTGCGCCTAAGGGGCTAAGTATCATTGTGATCTAACAAACTTACTTATACATGACATTGATGTGAATATCTCATATTATATAACTTAAAAAACCCTTTTTTTAAAAGCTATTATGAACCCCACCTTTTAATATCATAATAATTAAAAACTTACCCGTTAACATCAGAGAGATGAATATGAAAAATGTTGCGAAATAAATCATCCCGAATAATGCTTTTTGTCACAAATTTCTAGACCAAAATATTGTTTTCATTCTGTTCAATTATTACTACGAAAATTAGGAAAATAAAGCAATGGTGTTTTGAGCTACACCTTTGGTCAAGAACAATTTTCAAGATCGCGTTTAACCGTGACACAATTAAGTTCTAAAATTCGCTAGATTAAGGGGAATGGTAAGTTAATTAGAAACAACGTGAGTACAATTAGTCACATCCAACAAATAGGTAAATAAATATTTTCCACTGATCTCAAAGACAAATAACAATTCACTAGAACCTTAAAGTAAATTAGCAGGCTCACCACGCCACTCCACCTTATCAATAAAAACCAATAATTGTTTTATTTATCATATGTCCAAATCAGGTAACAAACATTGATGTTTTTCGGTAATGATGGTATCCAGATTCATTATAAAAAGGCTCTGATCGACAATTCATTCAGTTTCGTGAGTGATTTGGTATCAGTTATGATACAAGCAATAAAGACAAACGAAATGTTGAAAATGTGCTTGTTCTGTGTGGCCTATATGGGTAAGTACACACTATTTTTAGTTACGTTAAAAAGTAAAGCTTATTTTTGTTGTAAAAATATGCCATTAACGATTAGATGATTCCCTCATTCAGTATATCAAATCAAATGTAAGCAACTAAACGGATGTTTACGGATATATGCATTATCTTTCTCGAGACGAGAGCGAGGAGATACTTATTGTATTCCGATGTAATTATTTTATTATTATATTTTTAGTGAGCAATGTATATGGTACACTAATAACTTCACCTCCAACCAATACATCTGCTGCTGTAGGAACAGACGCTTTCTTAACTTGTCTTGTTTCTAATAAAGGAACAGATAAAGTCAAATGGAGAAAGGTGGGTTGTTTGTTTTAAAATCTGCTATTGAACATCACAACCAATCTGACTTAAATGCAGACCTACAAGTTTCCTATGGTGAATTGACTTTAGGTTACTAGAAACTAATATTTAATCAGACCACATCACGCGAGACTGTAAAGTTTTTTGCGGAAAGACATAAGGTTCCGAAATATTGATTCTCGCTCTATTGCTTATCAAAGTCAAGAGGCAACAATTTCAAATCTCATTACAGGAAGGGGATACAGAAACCTTGACAGCTGATTCTGTATCTGTTAAAAGTAACAGATACAAAGTAACTGGTACTAATAATAACTATAATCTAACCATAACCTCTGTTACTGTACAAGATGAAGGTCAATATATTTGTGAAGCTGGTGATACCGGAAGTGGACCAACTGTTTCAAGAAAAGCTTCTCTTTCTGTCGTCGGTAAGCTCAACAATCGTCTGCTATTGAAAATATTTGTTTAGAAACAAATATGTTGTCATTTCTACATTCAATGCACAGTTCTCTTTTTTTATTATTATAAAACCTTATAACCCTATAGCCTACAATTCGTGTGCTTGGCATTATTATAAGAGTGAAAATATTTGGTTAATTGTATTTTAAAACCCAGAAATTGTAAATGATTAACGTTATCATTTTATGTTTACGACATAATTATTTATGATTCAGTTGATCAGTTGGTGTAAGATGAACTACGCTAAGGGTCTATTCAAAATATTATAGTTGTATTATCAAAATCAAAACCCACAGATGTAAGGTAAACAGAAACTTCAAATTTGTTTTCTTCTTCAGCTCTACCAACTAATTTGAGTGTATATTGGAGCACCCCACCAGTGGAAGGACGTACAGCTAATTTAACATGTAGAGCTACTTATGGACGTCCACCACCAACTCTCACTTGGTTTAAGGATGAGCTTCCCTATAACCCATTGACGCCCACAACTAGCAATGTTAATTCTCAAGGTAGTGTGATTTTATTTATGTTAAATGTCTATTGCTGCATCACGTAAAAACCAAGTAGAAGATTAAAAGACGAAAGTGTGGACAATAGGAATTTTTACAAACGGGATTGGTACAATTTTTAAAATTGTTAACGTAAATAAAAATTCCAGGCTTTGTATTCAATTAGTATTACCCTTTCAGGCTATGGAGATGCTTACAGTACACTATATATTCCAATCAATTCACAGACTGAAGGAAGAAGGTTTAGATGCCAGACTGATTATCCCGGGTGGACGCGAGCTAAAGAATATACGATAACTACCCATTTAACAGGTTTGATATAATAAACACAGATCTGAATTTCTTTGGTTTCACTTTGAGGGAAATAATCATTAAAAACATTTGATTGGCCAATTGATGGGAATTAATTTCAGTTAGCCAAGACGCTTTTCAGATAGAACATACAACGTACGATTTTACGTAAAATGTTATAAAAATGATCATAGTTGTTGAATTGCATTGCATTGTGAAGAACAATCAGTTTGAAATAAAAAATGTTCTTTAATTAGTAAAATACATATAATATAAAATAAAACGGTCTTTTCAGATGGCAGTGTAACAGTACAGTTATGTATGATAACAATGGTTTTACCACTTTTAATACAACTGGCTGCATAATACTGATAGCTTAATTCCATAAAATGCATGAAAATATTGAAGACTTTGTTCGTACCTCAAGGTTTATGAAAGCTGATAGTCACTTCTATCCAGTAATGACTAAACCTTGTTTATTATCTGTGATATTTTCTATTCTATTTGATTAATTTGTCTGATTGTTAATTGTTAATCAAAGTTAATAATAAATTATATGAAGATATTGTGATATTCAACTTTCTAGATGTCAAGTTATACAGCTTAAAGGGATTGTAACAAGGTTTTCCAAAACATTTAAGCGCAAAGAGGACACTAATAGAAACAATTTGCACCATTCCAATTTTTAAACAGACGTCTGTTGCTCTGACAATTCCACATAAGATATGCGTTTTGAGATATCTCTATCACAAAGGTCCTTATTAATCGATAGCAGCTTTTGTCATAGTAATATTTTAAATCACAATATAAAAAATTGAGAAAACCTCTTGAAAGCTGAGATTACTACAATCTAATATCTTGACTGATGTAGTCTTGAAAACGTTTTTCAGTCTCATAAATGTTTCAACAACTAAACTGAATCTGTATTAGCATTATTAAATGACAAATTGTACCAAATTATTGGAACATTACTTATTAATACATATAGACAACGGAAAATTCTATAAATAGACCATCTATGATCTGCAACGAGTCTTTAACACTCAATCAATCAAATGCTCTGTACAATAAAAGATATCCCTTCAATATTAGAAGAATTCTGGGATATTCATTGTTCAAATCATTGACAAGAATTTTCTACTAACTTTTAACAGTGTTTTTCAACAGTTAGAACAAATCATGACAAATGTTGATGCTTTTGAGTCAAAAATTTCACCCAAATCTTTTAAGAAAAATCTTGTCAGATCATGGATGGCACACATAGTACTAGTAACCTGTAAAATGCATTTGAATCAAATTGATATACATGTATACATAAATGTCAGTCACTAACATAATATATATGTAAGGTAGATCTCCATATAAAATTACAAATTATAATATAAATTTGAGGATATTGCTTTAAATTACCATAAAATAAAACACTATATCTTACTATCTCCTTCTCATTAGTTTAGAAATGCTCTTTTTTGTTTGTTTGACAGGTTGTCTCCCTTTTTTCTTTTCACCTTCTAACTTGGCTTTAACTCTACTTAGTTTTTCAACCAGATGATTTGTAAGAATTTCTGAGGCATCAGATTGTGATGTAGAACTGTCAAAGTTACTCTTAGATGGTTCCTGTTTGACTTCAGACATCACAGGTTGATACTCTATCGAGATTTCTTCCTTTATCTTTAATGATCCATTTATATCTGGTTCTTCAATAAATTCAGCTTTCAATGTTGTCCTTGTAACTTTCTTTTTTCTTGGTCTTTTAACCTTGACATCTTTCTCTACCTTTGGTTTCACTAATTTGTTCACTGTAACCTTAGGTTTCTTTGTTGGAGATTCTTCTTCAGTGCTCTAAAAAATGAGAAGTAAAAATGTGTTTCGTTACATAGTAAAAAATAAAATATGATCAAAATATTGTATTGAAACACCAAATAATATGTCAGCATTTCTTATTTTAAACTGGACAGGTCAATATTCACAATATATCAGATAATTAACTCTTTGTAATGGTTAGATCATATTCGGTAAAATTTTTGTAGGGCAGAGGTAAAATTTAACCTCACATGGTCTTCTCTTACTTAAAACTTAACCCAGCTTGATTGATTGATTTTCCACTTAAAGAGACAGGTTTGCCATTTAATAACATTGATCCTGAATATATGTGAATAGTCTCCAAAAGTAGTAGAAATGTATGAAAATCGCATAATTCCTTAAAAAATAACTCAAACTAGAAATTTCACTTTCTCAAGAAAAGACGAATCGTCATTTTAACTTTCAAACAAGGATAGTTTTGGACACACATGGATTTGAAGGCTCAAATTTCACTGATCTAAGAAATTCTCACTTCTAAGGCTAAGGTCCAATTGGTCATACAGATGGAGAAGCTATCCCTTTAATAAAAAATGAAACCAATGCTGATTGGACCAAATGCTATCTAACTTATCAAAACATGAAAACAGGTGAAATTGATTAAGCTGCTCACAGATATAAAGACATACCTCACTGTCTTTATGGTGTTTCTTATATCGCATATTTAATCCTTTTCTCTTTATTTCTGTAAGAAATGTTGGATGTTATTATCATTATTATTAAGACAAGCAGAAAACAGCAAATTTGTCAGTCCAATAAAAAAATAGCATAAAAATATAGAATACAGAAATTGCAGTATATAAACATCCGAGAACTGCCATGAGAACAGATCCCATGTGAAACAGTTACGCTTATCCAGATTTCAACATCTAGATTACTGGGTATTCAGAAATTACAAGAACTTAAGGCTTAGTACAATAACTTGTGTTCAATACCATGAAACCACATAACATGTTATAAATGACCTTAACATACCTTTTGGTACCATTGGTCCTGGATCTCCAGAATACCAAATAGTTCTTTTATTATGGTCTACCATATTAAGCATACCATCTTTATAAAAACATTGTAACCATTCAGTAAACTTAGAATAGTCAGCATCAGGTACAGGATTATAAATAGTAGCACCTATAAATATAAGCATATTTATATAAACATTAAAATATAAGCATATTTATATAAACATTAAAATATAAGCATATTTATATAAACATAAAAATATAAGCATATTTACATAAACATAAAAATATTAGCATATTTATATAAACATAAAAATAAAAGCATATTTATACAAACATAAAAATATAAGCATATTTATACAAACATAAATATAATAGCATATTTATATAAACATAAACCTATTAGCATATTTACATAAACATAAAATATTAGCATATTTACATAAACATAAAATATTAGCATATTTATATAAACATAAAAAATATAAGCATATTTACATAAACATAAAAATATTAGCATATTTATATAAACATAAAAATATTAGCATAAGCTTATACAAAATAGATGTTTATCTTAGCATATGCCCAATGCCCATAGTAAATGGGTGAGCTCAAATTGAAATTAAAGTTTTTCTTTATCATGTTGATTGACTGTAGTCAAATTAACAGCTGTGAATGGTTTGTTCTGAAGTGATTTCATATTACAGGATTTTTCAGCATCATAACCGCAGAAGGATGATTCTTATATTTTCATTAATTTTACGAAAAATATTATAATTTTTAAAGATTAACCATTTCTAATTTTCTTAGCCTTTAATGTACATATTGTTTTATCATAAATCTTTAACTTGTGACGTAAGCCAGTGCTTTTATGAGACTATGTCATCGTCATCCAATACATTTCATATGATAAATTAGAATAATGGCTGATAATGCCACGAAAAGGTTTACCTAAGTTAATAACTTCATGACAGAGTTGGCTACAGAGTTGTAATATATCTGCTTTACTTTGTTTTTTGAGTTTTTGTGTAACCGAACCATGATCATCTAATAATTCTTGTAGAACATCTCTGGCTTTGTCAAATGGTCTAATACCAGCCCTTAAAAAAAGTTTGTTAATATATGTAGTTGGTTTTCAAACTTATAAATGAGAGATTGTCAAGAAAGATAAAGCTAATTGCTAATCCTTTCTCAACAAGGATATAAAGACAAGAAAATTTGAATAGCTTGTTTAATCCATTTGGAGACACTGTTTGGAGTAAATCCATCAAATAGCTTTAATCTATTTCCATATTATCGAAGCCCTACCTGTAAAGAATTTCAGCTCTAAGATAATTTCCTACACCATTAAAATATGACTGGTTTAATAAAACTTCACAGATAGGTTTATTAAAAGCAGTTTTATCCAGATTTTCTAACACATACTCTCTGAAAAATATACAACATCAAAATTAAAAAAGGGAACCAGAACACATAAATATACTTGAAATTTGTTTGTTACGGTACCAATATTTGTCTCATTTGTTTTATTCTTCTACGTAAAACTGTGCTGTGAAAACTTTCTTATAAGCATCAGATATGTAGGTCTGATTCAATCCTGTATCGCTTTAAATCTTTTCTTATTTGTCTCACCTAAAACTAGGATATTCCAACATAACACAAGGCCCCCTATCTGGAGCCCAATTATCATCCACTCTCCATCTTCCAAACCTTCTAACATCTACAAAACTCAAAATCATAGGTGGACTATCTGATGTGAAAAATGTTAGATGGGAATGTTTGACCATTTCAGATTCTTCACAGTAATTGAACCTACCCGACATGCCAAAATTAAACACAATTTTCAATTCTTTCAGTTTCGTAGGCTTAGACTGCTTTCCTGTCTTCGTTTTTTTCTTAGTAGACTTGTGATTTTTGACATCCACAGTTGAAAGCGTTAATCTCAATTCTTTCCCCCTGGATTCTGCATAGATTGAATAATGACATTCGTTCCAATTTATTTCGGGATTTTTAGCATTCTCCACCGATTTCACAACTGACCCCCTGAATGTTTTATTTTTACACACAGTATTGACATACTTTGCTGATAAATTCAATTCTGGGCCTTCCGGCATCCTGAGAAAATAGAATGTGCTAAATTTACGAACAATTAATGAAGATTTGATGAGAAATCTAAATATTTTTTTACTGAGAACGCTTAGCATTATTTTATGTAACCATCCATGTGTATTTGTTTACCAAAATGCATTGTGGGTATTTGCTTCATTCGCCTACAATCTGGTCGTGGAATATGGTTACGTCTTAAATAATATATTGTCTGCAACTTGGGGATTTTGCGATGTTTATGATTAAATAGGTGCTGATTTTTTTTTCTGAAAAAGTTGCACGAGTCAAGGGAAGTCACTTGCAATATTATTAGTAGAGTTTGTCCGAAATATTTTTCAGTTACTAGTTTCTCAATCCGAGCCTCAAGTCAATGACGATTCTATGTTAGGGGGACAAAGTCAGATAGCCTATAATAGCCTAATGCAGTTCAAGATAAAAGATCGCCTCTTAAATCGGCAAGCCGTGATTCCGACATAGCTATAGGGTGTGTTTTTAGTTGCAGTGATAATATCGGGCAGACCCCCTTGCCAGAAATCCCTAGTTATCTTCATTATTTATAAGATTTGAACGACATATAGAAGCGACGAGCACATAATAACAAAAACACAAGACAATATTATGGAATATAACACACTTCTTTAATAAGGTTGAGCGCATATAACACCTTATTAAAGAAGTGTGTTATTTTCCATAATATTGTCTTGTGTCTTCCTTATTTAGCCGATAATTCCATGCTTTTCAAAAGTCATCTGTTTCGACTTATATTGTCTTAAAAGGACAGAGATGCGCCACTTAATAAATTCTTTATGCAGATATTTTTTCGATTCTTTGGTTTTCGAGGTTGATTTGAGTTTTAAATAATGTGAATAGTCTTCAGAAGTAGGGCCTACTAGAAATGTACGAGATCGTATATTCCTTCATAAAAAGACGTTTAACTGTCAAATTTCGACTATGAGCTGTAAACACCATTACTAATTGACTTAACTTAAAAAGTTCCTCAGTAATATAGCCTAACACATATTCATTGTGGGTGTTTAAACTGTTTAATAAAAACCAAAAAAAAATACAGAAACAGAATCGGTATATCGTGACGACCAATCACAGACTGGATCAAAACAACAAAACAAATCACAGACTGAATAAATAGTAACAACAAATATTACATATTGAATAATTCTAACAAGAAATATCACAGATTGAATAAATAGTAACAAAAAATATCACAGATTGAATAAATAGTAACAATGAATATCACAGATTGGATGAATCGTAATAATAAATATCAAAGACTGAATCAATAGTAACAATAAATATCACAGATTGCATAAATAGTAACAAGAAATATCACAGATTGAATAAATAGTAACAATAGATATCACAGATTGAATAAATAGTAACAACAAATATTACATATTGAATAGATAGTAACAATAAATATCACAGATTGAATAAATAGTAACAAGAAATATCACAGATTGAATAAGTAGTAACAAGAAATATCACAGATTGGATGAATCGTAAAAATAAATATCACAGACTGAATAAATATTACAGATTGAACAAACAGTAACAATTGATATCACAGATTGAATAAATAGTAACAATAAATATCACAGATTGATAAATAGTAACAAGAAATATCACAGATTGAATAAATAGTAACAATAGATATCACAGATTGAATAAATAGTAACAACAAATATTACATATTGAATAAATAGTAACAATAAATATCACAGATTGAATAAATAGTAACAATAAATATCACAGATTGAATACATAGTAACAATAGATATTACATATTGAATAAATAGTAACAATAAATATCACAGATTGAATAAGTAGTAACAAGATATATCACAGATTGGATGAATCGTAACAATAAATATCACAGACTGAATAAATATTACAGATTGAACAAACAGTAACAATTGATATCACAGATTGAATAAATAGTAACAATAAATATCACAGATTGAATAATTCTAACAAGAAATATCACAGATTGAATAAATAGTAACAATAAATATCACAGATTGAATAAATAGTAACAATAAATATCACAGATTGAATAAATAGTAACAAGAAATATCACAGATTGAATAAATAGTAACAATGAATATCACAGATTGAAAATATAATAACAAGAAATATCACAGATTGAATACATAGTAACAATAAATATCACAGATTGATTAAATAGTAACAAGAAATATCACAGATTGAATAAATAGTAACAAGAAATATCACAGATTGAATAAATAGTAACAATGAATATCACAAATTGAAATAATAACAAGAAATATCACAGGTGGAATAAATACAAACAAGAAATATCACAAATGTAATCAATCCTAACAACTAATTATACAGATGGAATAAAGAATAACATTAAATAATACATATTGAATAAATAGTAAACGGTAAACGAAAAATATTACAGATTGAATAGATAAACATATAACAGATTATTAAAGTTCGCTCACTTCGTATGTCTCTATTCTTGGGTTAGTCAATCGTCGACTATAGAATGTCCGCCGTAAATGTTCTTATGTACTGTTTTAATTTGCATTTATCTGTTAAACCTTTGTAATATATTTAGATAATGATTACAGCTGCTGTACTTGTTATTGTCTGTGTTAGAAATACGTCCTCTAATGACTGGTCTTATGACTGGACGTGTCTAGGTTAAAAAATCTCTGGTAGAATTCAACTTCAAACATATTTCAATATCTACTAAAATGGCTTTCTTGTTATGTATAACACAGACGCCAAAAACATCACAATAATCTTTGATAACGTAAATAGACAAGCTATTAATAGTAACTAAGACAACTTGTGAATTTTGGAAACATCCCTTTCAAGTCACCTCTTTCTATTGGTGTCTGTTGTTTTCTCTAGCTGTTTCTGATAATCATTGTACTTTCTTTCTGTCATATTCAGACAAGTTTTCTTGGGGAATTCAGCAACAGACACTAAAACTAATATTTATTATTACTTGTAAATAATTCTGTTAACATCCTCTCAAGTCCTCCTCTTCCTATTATTGTCTGTTGTTTTCTGTTATCTTGATTTTATAACTTTCTTTGACTCTTCCTGATAATCATGGTACATTCTTTCTATCATATTGAGATGAGTTTTCTTGAGGACTTCAACAACAGACACTAAAACTTGTCGAGAGATCTGATATTTTATAGTGTAGTTGACAATAATATTAATCTTGTTAACAACAGATTAAGAGATTATCTCAGATTAATGATTGATAGAAATAACAATATCATAATTGACACGTGAAAACAACAAATGGTTACCTAAACAGATACATATATTGGTACATTATTGATTAAGTTGTGGTTACTATGGTCGTGTGTTGAAACGGAAAATTCCAAAATGAATTTGAACAAAACTGAACCTAAAAATATTTAAACAGACCGCTACAACAATTTACTAAATGAAAAAGTGTCAACAGTTTTGTGCTTTATTGTTCTGAAAAGATTAAAAACTCCAATAGCCAGGTTATTGATATCAGTCAGTAATCTGTACATAAAACAATCGGTTTAAACAAATCAAATTTTAATCAAATATCAAACTAAGTCTATAGTCAGACAATTTATAAATACTAATTAAATTAAATCTTCTCACACAGTTAGAACTCCTATCATTAACAAATAATTAGAAAATCTTTAATCATGATTGTCTTGTTTTACCGACAAAAAAAAAAATAACCAGTCGCCATTCATTTTTACTTTTAAAATGCAAACCTGCTGACTCCAATGGGAAAGAGGGTACAGAAATATAGTTTGTTATCCCAATTGCACCCCAACCTCATTTCTAAGCCAAGAATAATATGTGTCAGAATGCACTTCTAAGTTTTGTTGGAAGGAAAACACATTCAGACCGCATATGAAATGGCTAGCCCCTATTTGGAATCTAAGCCCCCCCCCCACCCCCCCAACTAATGAGTCACATTTGATCTACAAGATGAAGAAAATGAGCCAGTTTGTCAACTATTTGTACCTCAATGTTCAGGAAGCTGCCACCACCACTGATAATAAGCATAATGTATGTATTAAAAGACATATCATAATGTATGTATAGTTTAGATATAGAACAAAATCTATATATCATTCATAGAATAATGGAAAGCTTGAGCTTGACTGATAATATCATGCAATAATAAAAAAAATTGTAAGGTCCAATTATATGAACGATTATCATTAAAACATTTTCATGTGTACGATGTTCTATAATATCTTATTTTCAATTACATTTTATCAGAATATAAATTACAATGATAACGATCTAAAAAAGTTAAATTGTATTCAGTATAATCATTTGTGTATATTATGTCAATATGAAAATATTGAGTGTGTTTGTTGTCCATGGTAGCCAAATTTTCTTTAATCGGTTAGGACAACCATTTGATGATTATACTTATACTTATGTTATTTCTATAAATCATTAATCTGAGATAATCTCTCAATCTGTTTCTAACAAGATTAATATTAATATTGTTTGACTTAAACGAGCAAATATAAGAGAGCGCATTGCTAGTGTCGCTATTGTAAAATCCCGACGTTCAGTGTGAATACGGTGCAAAAATCTACTTTTAGTCTACTATTTGAAAAACGTCGTCGGTACAAAACGTATCGTTCTTTTTCTCTAAACACACTGAGATTAAAAATGGCAGAAGAAATGGAAACTATGTTTGAAAAGCTGTCGAAAGCCGAAGACTGCAAATCTCTTCTAAAGAAGCATTTAAGTAAAGAAGTGTTTGAAACATTAAAAGATAAGAAGACAAGTTTAGGAGGCACTTTAGCTGATTGTATACGATCTGGTGTTGAAAATCCGGAAAGTGGTGTTGGTATCTATGCTTGTGACCCTGAAGCCTACACTGTGTTTGCTGATACTTTAGACCCAGTAATTAAGGATTACCACAAAATTCCTGACAACATACCAATCAAGCACCCGGCCTGTGATCTTGGTGATCCAGAGAAACTGAAATTTGAGGATCTAGATCCCGAGGGAAAGTTTATTGTTTCTACTAGAGTTAGAGTTGGACGATCTCATGATAACTTTGGATTCCCACCCATACTTACCAAAGAGCAAAGAGAGGAGATGGAGAGGAAAACAACTGAAGCCTTTGATGGTTTACCAGAAGAACTAAAAGGATCTTATCATCCAATAGAGGGCATGGATGCCGATACACAAAAACAACTCACAGAGGATCATTTCTTATTCAATGATCATGATAGATTCTTGAGAGCTGCAGGTGGATACAATGACTGGCCAACCGGTAGAGGTATCTATTTTAATGAAGAGAAGAATTTCTTAGTTTGGGTCAATGAAGAAGATCATTTAAGAATTATTTCCATGCAGAAAGGAGGTGATTTAGGCGCTGTTTATAAACGTCTTGTAACGGCAATTAAAGCATTGGAAAAGAAATTGTCGTTTGCCAGGAATGACAGACTTGGTTTCTTGACATTCTGCCCCACTAATCTTGGTACCACTTTGAGAGCCAGTGTGCATGTAAAGATACCAAATCTAGCTGCTCAACCCAACTTTAAAGAAGTGTGTGACACATATAATTTACAAGCTAGAGGTATCCATGGTGAACACACGGAATCTGTTGGTGGTGTTTATGATGTTTCTAATAAGAGAAGATTGGGACTTACTGAATTAGAAGCTGTAACTGAGATGTACAATGGAGTTAAAGAGATTATTAGACAAGAGAAAGAACTTTCAGTCAAACCCGAGTCTCTGGAAGATATGTATGAACATGTATCAAAAGCTGACAACTGTAAGTCCTTGATGAAGAAGTATTTTACTAAGGAGGTGATGGGGAAACTGAAGGACAAGAAAACCAGTCATGGGGCAACTCTAATGGACTGTATCTATTCGGGAGTAATGAATCTAGACAGTGGAGTGGGAATCTATGCAGCCGACCCTGAATCCTATACGGTATTTGCCGATATTTTGGATCCAGTTATTAAAGAATACCACAAACTGAAGTCATCTGATACCATTTCTCATCCACCCTTTGATTTAGGAGATGTTGAAAATCTTCCTTTCCCAGATCTCGATCCAGAAGGGAACATGATCGTCTCTACTCGTATTCGTGTTGGTAGAAGCCACAAAGAGTTTGCATTCCCACCTGTTTTAACCAAAGGGGATCGAATAAACATAGAAACTATTTCTGTTGCTGCTTTAAATAGTCTTGGTGATGAATTAAAGGGACAATACCACCCCCTGGATGGAATGAGGAAAGAAACGCAAGATCAGTTAACAGCAGATCATTTCTTGTTTAATGATCACGATAGATTTTTGAAGGCTGCAGGAGGGTACAATGACTGGCCAACCGGTAGAGGTATCTATTTTAATGAAGAGAAGAATTTCTTAGTTTGGGTCAATGAAGAAGATCATTTAAGAATTATTTCCATGCAGAAAGGAGGCGATTTAGGTGCTGTTTATAAGAGGTTAGTCAAGGCTATCAATATTTTAAGTGAGAAGTTGAGTTTTGCCAGGGAAGATCGTCTTGGATTCCTCACGTTCTGTCCCAGTAATTTGGGTACAACACTTAGAGCTAGTGTTCATATTAAAATACCAAATTTGGCTGCCAAGAAAGATTTTAAACAAATCTGTGATAAACTGAAGCTTCAAGCTCGTGGTATCCATGGAGAACATACAGAATCTGTTGGTGGGGTTTACGATATCTCAAACAAGAGAAGACTTGGTATCTCTGAAATCGACGCCGTGAAGGAAATGTACAACGGTGTTCAAGAAATTATCAGAATGGAAAAAGATTTAGCAAATGGCAAAGGAACAAAATCTTCAACATGCACCGTTTTGTAACCAGCGTTGTAACTCTGCTTTCTGTCCAGATTTAAATTTCATAATTTATTTTGATAAAATGTTAATAAAATAAAATCACGAAATTATTTTTTTTATTTTTCTCCGATTTTGTACTCTTTTGAAACTATTTTTGAAACAAGGGAATTCTGTACTTGTTTATTTTCCTTCCATAGGCTACTATACTTGTACCTTGTTTAACAATTGTCCAGTTCATAAATTCCTATCTTCATATATAGCCCATGATTTCATGCTTGTCAGCTCATCTGGTGTTAATATTAGTGAAGATTTATATCTTTATATACACGGCGGTTAGCGTGTTGGATTATCGTGCAGGGGGCGGGGTGGGGGGGAGGGGGGGGGGGCAAAACTTCGACAGAATGCCATTAGTTGTCATTTATATTAGTTGTCTTACAATTTACTTTTTATTGCACATTAGTGGTCGTATGCAAAACTCTAATTCCCCTTTACACTAAGCTTCAAGAGAACAAAAAAGTCGTTTCTTTCTTAATGAATGATGAATTACAAAAAGTGATAAATAAGCGATGTAATACTGCGTTTATATCACATTGTCATGAGAACATTCTCTATTTGTTTTTATTAAAGAAAATATTCATGGCGACTGGTTGATTTTCTGTCGGTAAAACAAGACAATCATGATTAAAGATTTTCTAATTATTTGTTAATGATAGGAGTTCTAACTGTGTGAGAAGATTTAATTTAATTAGTATTTATAAATTGTCTAACTATAGACTTAGTTTGATATTTGATTAGGGTTTGATTTATTCCAATAATATGTTTTGATGTACTGAAAAAGAGATTAAATGAATTTACATTAATTAGATAATGATGCATTGAGGAGTCTTTATGTCTTCAGATCAATGATGAGCTATTTGACCTTTACAGGATAAGAAAAAACAAAATTAGTGAACAATCAAAAATATAACGATATTAGCTAATATTCGTTTTTGAATTTTCTGTAATTCTTGGAAATATTAGTAATTTTTCTACTGTCAGTGAGTCTATAAAACGAAAACCTAAAATTTCGTTGTCGATTCATTTACGATAAATTGTAACGGTTAATTTGAATAGTAGCATAGAATTATCATTAAAGTTCAGATCTGTTCAAATATATCTTAGAACATATGTTGCAATACAAAAACATAGTTACAAGATTTTCAATGATTCACAAATAGTTGTATTTGTTTAGATAACAATTTGTTGTTTTCACTTATCAATTATGAAATTGTTATGTCTATCTATCATTAATCTGAGATAATCTCTTAATCTGTTGTTAATAAGATTAACATTTATATTAACTAAACTATAAGATATCAGATTTTCTGGATAGGCTTTAGTGTCTGTCGTTGAAGTCCTCAACAAAACTCATCTCAATATGATAGAAAGAATGTACCATGATTATCAGGAAGAGTCAAAGAAAGTTATAAAATCAAGATAACAGAAAACAACAGACACCTTTAGGAAGAGGAGGACTTCAGAGGATGTGAACAGAATTTCCAAGAATCTTAAATCATATTGTGTAGATATAGGTAAAAAAAGTGTGTGAAACTCAGACTATGTAGAGAATTAAATGAAAACCATCGACTTGGTATGAGTCTCTCATAGCTGGGGTTGGAAATCTTTAGCCTACCCTCGAACCTGGTAAATCAAACTATACCGAGATTTTAACATAAAGAAACGACGACCAGCTAGAGAATGAAAAGAGACCATATTATCTATTCAATCTGTGATATTAATTTTTATTATTTATTCAATCTGTGATATTTCTTGTTACTACCTATTCAATCTGTGATATTTATTGTTACGATTCATTCAATCTGTGATATTTCCTGTTACTACCTATTCAACCTGTGATATTTATTGTTACGATTCATCCAATCTGTGATATAACTTGTTACAATTCATTTCAATCTGTGATATTTCTTGTTATTTTCTATTCAATCTGTGATATTTATTGTTACTATTTATTAAAACTGTGATATTTATTGTTACTATTTATTCAATCTGTGATATTTATTGTTACTATTTATTCAATCTGTGATATCTATTGTTACTATTTATTCAATCTGTGATATTTCCTGTTACTACCTATTCAATCTGTGATATTTATTGTTACTATTCATTCAATCTGTGATATTTCCTGTTACTACCTATTCAACCTGTGATATTTATTGTTACGATTCATCCAATCTGTGATATAACTTGTCACAATTCATTCAATCTGTGAAATTTTTGTTATTTTCTATTCAATCTGTGATATCTATTGTTACTATTTATTCAATCTGTGATATTTATTGTTACGATTCATCCAATCTATGATATTTATTGTTACTATTTATTCAATCTGTGATATTTCTTTTTACTATTTAGACAATCTGTGATATTTCTATTTACTATTTAGACAATCTGTGATATTTCTTTTTACTATTTAGACAATCTGTGATATTTTTTGTTACTATTTAGTCAATCTGTGATATTTCTTGTTACTATTTATTCAATCTGTGATATTTCTTGTTACTATTTATTCAATCTGTGATATTTCTTGTTATTTCTATTCAATCTGTGATATATATTGTTATTATTTATCCAATCTGTGATGTTTCCTGTTATTATTTATTGAGTGAATGATATTTCCTGTTACTGTTTATTCAATCTGTGATATTCATTGTTACTATCTAATCAATCTGTGATATTTCTTTTTATTTTCTATTCAGTCTGTGATATTTCTTGTTAATATTTGTTCAATCTGTGATATTAATTGTTACTATTTGTTCAATCTGTGATATTTATTGTTACAATTCATTCAATCTGTGATATAACTTGTTACAATTCATTCAATCTGTGATATTTCTTGTTATTATTTATTCAATCTGTGATATTCTTTGTTACTATTTATTCAATCTGTGATATTTCTTGTAATTTATTTTTTTAATCTGTGAAATTAGTAGTTACTATTTATTCAATCTGTGATATTTCCTGTTACTATTTATTCAATCTGTGATATTTCTTGTTACTATTTATTCAATCTGTGATATTAATAGTTACTATTTATTCAATCTGTGATATGATTTTTCACTATTTATTCAATCTGTGATATAATTTGTTACTATCTATTCAACCTGTGATACAATTTGTTACTTTTTATTCAATCTGTGATATTTCTTATTATTATTTATTCAATCTGTGATGTTAATTGTTACTATTTAATTAGTCTGTGATATCAATTGTTACTATTTATTCAATCTGTGATATTTATTTTTTGTAAACTAAATAAATAAATAATAATAAATCTATTCTGTACTTTTTTTTTTATAACTAGACATTTAAATTTTGGAAGATCAGAATCTGTTACTTTATAAACAGAAATAGTGGGGATATTGAAACCAGAAGTAAAACATTATAACTGCCTCTTCGGTATGAGAAAAACAGCGGACGATACGGTATAGCATTATATCTATACCGGTATACCGTTGAGATATTATCGTGACGATATTTCGTGATATCAGACGTAAAAGAGACGATATCATAAGATTTTAGCGCTTTTATGCAGTTTTCGAAACATTTTCGGGATTACATATGTATATGTTATAAAATCCAACCACAATGGCCGTTTAAAATATGTAACATGACCCCTTAAAGGTTTGCCATAAGACATTAACTTGCTACGATGCTGGGCTATTTAGTTAAAGTTGAATCGCAGCTTAATTGTTCAAGTAAGCCTATAGCCATTTGGTGAACCTCACTAGGACCATTTTGTGGCATTTCGTGGAAATTGGTCAGAATTTAGAAATTCAACCTTTTTCAGCCTATGATTTCCCTTCATACAATGTATTGGTTCTTCCGAGAGCTGTGCATGATGTGTTCTGTACATGTTATAGCAGCTATATCTCATAACATTGCATTTCGGTCCTCGTGAGAGTTTGATAAGTGAATGATATCACAATGTGCATCATATCCATTAAAAAGGGAATGCAACACGTAGATACCATTGGTTTTGATAGACGAAAATAGAATTGTGTCTGATTGAGAATAACGCAACCTCATCAGCCTCATGACCAAATTACTTGGCTTACTTTGCTCTTTCAACATCAAAATTTGACAATGTGTCTTCGATCTTGGACCTCATGCGCCAGTTTTTAAAGTACTTTTAAGCAGAAACAAAAAAAAACAGATACTTTATAACATTGGAAAGAGTTTAACTCCGGAAATGTTTTCTATATCACTATATTTGAATCTATCGTGATAAAAAAAAATTGTCCATACCGCGATACACAAAAAATCTCATATCGCCAACTCTACCTCTTCCTGGTTCGATATTACACAATTCGGTACGTTATCAAGAAACAGTCCTACATGCCACGCTCAAAAAGC